GGGGCGCTGGCGCCCAATGCAGGCCAGCTCGCTGGGCGCGTCGCATGTGAGGCAGCCGGATTAGGCATGTCCCTATGGCAGCATCAATGTCAGCTGTGCTGCAAACGGCAGTTATGTAGGCCTTCGCGGTGGGGCGATGCTACGCACATCACCGCTTTGGTCTCGCAGTACTGCACCGATCTGCCGCCATTTATCTCCCCATTCGCTGGCTTGGCCCCTTCCTCTGTCTTGCTACGACCAAGCCTGTGCGGTGTGGTGTTTTGCTTTCGTCCTTTACTGGTGATGTATGGCTCAGCATCATCGCACTTGGCATCTTCCGGCGCTTATGGCACCTGCCAACTGCCAAGGCAAGTGACCAAGCCGGTGATAAGGTAGCTGGATCCACCGATCGTCTGGAATCGTGAATGTTGCTAGTCACGATGATTGTGGCGTCACCAGACGGATCCTGAAGCAATCTCGATACCAGGGATCTCAGACGCCCAGATCACTCACTGGACACTCGCCTCCGACCACACGTGGAGCGCCTCCCGCTCACGTTTTTACACGAATGGGGCGCGTGGTAATTGCGCTGGCCGCCCTCCTGGCGCTGGCCATTGGCCACACATGTGGCGCCGCTACAAATGAGCTGCGCGTGTCGGACGCGTGCCAGTGGGACGGCTTTGAATCTGCTGTGCAGCGCTTCTCGCGCATCATCCAGGTGCGGTGCCCACCTGCTTCCCGTTTGGCCGCTGGCCCTGCTGCCAGTGCGGTGTTACAGGGCGGGGATGTGGCCCCGCCCAGTGATTGTCGTGTGGCGAGGCAGCTGTTGGACGGCGACGGCATGAGCGCTCACAGCCTACACCAAGTATCCAAGCCGCCTGACACCCCCCCGCACCCCCCACCCTCCACCCACGGCCCCAGTTCAAGACCGTGAGTGATGTCACCGCCCCCAACCATGTGCGCGACGCCGCCGAGTTTGGCCGCATGGACGAGTTCCTGCGGGGCGCCTTCCCCCGCGTGTTCCAGCAGCTCAAAGTCGAGAAGGTGCGGCGGCAGCGGCGGCTGCGTGGGCGATCGGGACCGCTGGCTGGCGCCAAGTGCGGTGTGGATGTGCAGACGGAGTGAATGCAGTCGGGGGACGAGGGCACAGGGTGGCGAGCGGGGCCCCCGAGCGCCCCCTCCGAGTTCGCCAGGCAGCAACGCGTTGGGATCTGTAGTGCTTTCCGGCCTCATGGGGAGTGGGTGAGAGTTGAGCGCGTCATGAGGCGCAAGACACCCGGTGCGCCCCCCTCGTCACTGCTGCCCTCCACCCTGTTCCTCATCACAACCCACAACCATGCACACCACTCCCAGCACCCTCGCTTGCACTGCATCCCCCACAAACAAAGCTTCACTCACTCATGGACACTCAGTCAACTCCTCCCCCCTCTCCAAACCCCTGTCCCCCCCCCCCCAAAACAAGGTCGGCTGTGACAGCCTGAGCTACCTCATCACCTGGCAGGGCTCCCAGCCCGACCTCAGGCCCGTGCTCTTCATCAGCCACCTGGACGTGGTGCCGGTGGCAGAGGCCAGCGAGAAGGTGGGGGGTCAGGGGCAGGGCACAGCGCGGTGGACGGTGCACAGGCAGGCCCGGGCGGCGGGGGCCCGCACATGATGGCAGGTTGCTGGTGTGCGCACGTACGGCTGTGTGGAGGGATGGCCGCCAGGTTCATTTTCACATCCTCCACCTGGCCCCATCCACCAGTGGCACACAGGCCTGCGGCATCCAGA